AAGGTGGAGTAGCTGCTTGGTTCGGACCATTTTCTCTGCTCCAAAGTAAAATGCTAAATGCTTCATTAGAATTTTTCAAAAAGTTAGCATTCCTCCAGTGGATTTTCGCCTGATCTGTGGTTCGGTCCAAGAATCCTCTCTGCTCCGGTCTGGACCAGCGCAAAACCATGAACACTGTACTGCAGCAGCATCTCAGGTAGAAAAAGCAAAAAACTTAACAATTGTTAAACTCAAGACAACTTCTGTTTCAGAGCTATACTTAGGACCTGCTGTGTTTTCCAGTGCATTTAAAAAGTAAATATGATATTATTATACAATTAGTTTGTTGTGTAAACATTTAATTCACAAATGTCACTTCACTAAAACTGCGCCAGACATAATTAGAGTAAAATAATAAACAATAATAGTTTTAAAAAAGTACAGGTCTGTAGGTCAGGTCAAAGTAAAGTCACTGAAGTCACTTCCTCCTATTATGTTTTGGTTGTCACGATGATTTAACTTTCTCCCACAAATTCAGGGCTATATTTATTCCAAATCTTAGTGTGAATTTGTAGTAGGAATGTTTTATGAATTGTATTTCTTCAGAATTTCTTCTGAGACTGATAATTCACTCAAACAAAATCACTCATATTCAGGCAGAGACTTTTTGGCTCCATCCGCTCAAGATTCCATGATGTTGTGTTCCGAATTCTACCCATCGCCGTGGCTACAGAAACCGTTCTACAGAAACCGTTCTACAGAATCCTCTTGATGATAATACAAAGAGGTTACCATAGTAACCTTTGATGATATAAGCACATTCTATCTTGAAGCAGTCATGTCTTAGGGTTAGGACTGCTGAGATAATAAGGAGTCTTGGGGTGGCAAATATTTTGAGGTGAGGCAATTGGCAAATGTTGAAGATGTTTTAATTTGAGATTTATTATTATAAAATCAAGAATGGATTTGAAAATCCAAAGATTGACTTTGGAAAAAGAGAGTTTGCAGTCAGAGTTCTTGGCTATAACAGATATATATCTAGAAGTTCAACAAAAATCGGAGGAAGAGATAGGACAACTAGATACAAGCATAGCTATTAGACACGGACGGCTAACAAACAAATGGAAGAGAGATTTAGATGGGCTGAAGACTGAGAACCAGCAGCTGTGCGCTTCGTTAGGGGAGAAAAGATGCAGGAAGCGGGTACGTGCAAAGAGAAGTGTGGAGATCCAGGTGGGACCCATCGAGTGCATAGACGTGGCTGTACAAGCGGCGTCTGAAGTTTGGGAGACAGGCACACAAGTCCAATCAGAGGGAACATCTGCAGATAAAAGTGTACAAACGGACATCTCGTTTGTAGAGATGGGGACTCAGACGGATGTTTCAGGGATGTTTCCGGCTGGACAGAGGTCAGAAGAACACGCTGCTTCAGACCACCTGCAGGCACAGAGAAGAAGTGAGAAGCAAAGTCAATGAAGTCGAAGTGGAAAATGGAGGAGGCTTCTGGTCAACTTTCAAATCCAGGGCAAAGAAAGTGGTCACAGCAAGTTTGTGGGTTGTGCCTGCTGTGGCTATTGGGTATGGTATATACTCTCTCACCCGTTAAGGGGAGAGCCACTCACCGACCTTGTCCCGTTTAAGAGTCAAGGCTGTAGCGTGTGTGTGTGTGTGTGTGTGGGTGTGTGTGTGTATGAGTGAGTGGTTTCAGGGATGGCCACCCTGTGCATTTGCCATATAGTAGTAGTAAGTAATCATTTATATCCCGCCTTTTCACTGCAGATCTGAGTCTCAAAGCGGTTTACAATTGTTAATTTTTGGGCATTTGTCTCTCACTCCACACAGAGATGGGAGCGGGGTCGCCAGTACAGGAGGCGCATGCCAGACCTATTGTACATATTTTTAACGGTAGGGGAAACCGGAGTACCCGGAGGAAACCTACGCAGACACGGGGAGAACATGCAAACTCCACTCAGAAAGGCCCTGGTCTGACCGGGATTCAAACCCAGGACCTTCTTGCTGAGAGGCGAGAGTGCTATCCACTCAGCCACCGTGCCGAGTGTGCCATATAGACACATCTCTGTCAGTTAATGTTCACAAATGGGTCATAAGACGTATCTGGGATCACTATGTGACAGAGTTGGGTCCATGGAGCATATGTACAGAGGGGTCAGCCCGAAACGCTACGACTGTACGAATAATTTCTTTAGGATTAATTCATACAGTTGTGTGTGAATGTGTTTTACGAGCTTGGGACCAAAAAGAGTCCACACTTCATTGGGCATTTTACAACACTTACATTTCATGCAATCATGTAATCATGTAATTTATGAACAATTCTCTCTGAAGGTCCAGGAAAATGAGTGTTTGGTGACAAACTGATAGACATGATCTATGGTGAAAATACAATGAGGCGTCCGGAACAACACACATTACGACCAGAGGCATGCACAGGCATGATTCCTTTTCTCCCGTCACACTTTACACACTGGAAGTATTAGAGGGAATGTGTATTACAAGTTTGAAATATAATTTAAAAATGCAAAGATGCTAAAATAGAATTTGGCTCATCTGTATTGTAAAATGAATTTAAAGGAAACTTGTTGCATGTGTTATTTCCTTGAATACTTCCAAAGTGTATGTGTGAGGGGAGCACAGGGGAACATGACTGTTGTGTCGTTGTATGGTCGTAGAGTTTGTGTGTTGTGTCTCATAGAAATGATCTATGGTGATCGGTTCTTCACTGAACACTCTTTCCTGGACCATGAACGAGGACAGTTTGTGATACTGACTTCGACTGTAATCTGTTCATTGATTTTCCATTGTCTGTTTCATGACGTGATGATGGGATGCCTGAACCCGGCCCTCATCCATCCGCACCTACAAACCACCCTGCCCAGCCCGACTCGTGGGCTACACACCTCGTCGCCTGGGAGCTATTTTTGGAATAAACAATAAAAAATAATTTAAGTGGATTGAAGTACATTGGATTTTTTTTCTCAACGTTACGCCAACTGAATGTCCTGGTTGTCGTTTTTAGTTCCTGTTTTATTTTGTAATTGCCTGTTCTCCTGTGTCTTTTTGAGTTTCACTTCTACTTGTTGATTGCCTGCCACAAACTGTTGGTTTCACCTGTGTCATACATTCAGTGTGCTCTTTCCCTCTTGTTTTCAGTCCACTGAATGTTTGTTCAGTGGTTCTTGCCTTCGTCTTCAGTTCCTGTGTTTTTACACCTTTATTTTTTGGATTCTTGTTTATTAAAGTATATTATTTTTGCAGTATTGAATTTTGGGTCCTTCCTTCTTTCCGTAACACTCACAACTATTCAAAGGAAATATAAAGCTGCCCAAGAACACCAGTCCTGCATTTGGACTTTTACCGCCGGCTTGTTCCTAAGAGAGTAACCAGAAAGAGAGACTACAGACCGGGGGAGTATCCCGGTATCCCGGCTTGTATCTGGAGATGGGCCCTGCCCCTGACAGGGGCCCTAGTAGCATTGAAGGATGGGTCGACTCAAATGCAGAGGATGGGAGGACAATAAGGTATAACTTAACTTATATGGGCAACACGGTGGCTGAGTGGATAGCACTATCACTTCTCAGCAAGAAGGTCCTGGGTTTGAATCCTGATCGGAACTGGGCCTTTCTGAGTGGAGTTAACATGTTCTCCCCGTGTCTGCTCCGGTTTCCTCCGGGTGCTCCGGTTTCCTCCGGTTGCTCCGGTTTCCCCTACCACCAAAAACATGCACAATAGGTGTGAACGTAATGAGTGAGTAAATGGATGGTGTTGGTTGGGGGCTTTGATGCGCCAGTGTGTTTTTATCGTCTCGCTTCTGTCATCATGTGAGGAGTGATTGGAACAATCTCTGAACTCTGAACACTGTAAAGCGCTTTGGGTGACCTTGATCTGTAAAATGCGCTGTATAAATAAACAATACTTGCTTACTTATATTTTATGAGTCTTGGGACTATGAATGAAAAGAAAAATCTCTAAAATAAATTCTAAGTAAATAAATCCATAAAAATGTGTTCGCTGGCTTGCCCTCAAAAGGTCCGTGAGACAGCTTAAGATCCTCATGCATTTCTATGACGGAGTCTATGGTCTCATTAAATTTATTTTCTTCCAGACGCTAAGATTATGGTCCAAATATTTTAACTTTAAATATTATGATTATAATCTTGAAATACTATTAGATTAATCTAAAAATATTACGAGAATATACAGAAAAATGCACAGCTGGATGCCTCTTGTCCAGAGTTCACAGAGGTCTATAGTATTTACATGTATTTAAATCAATAATAAAAACAATGATAATAATAATAATAAATAAGGAGAGGCAAACCAGCAATACCAATATGCTGCTGTTCAAGAGGCTCCAGGATTTATTTCACCTTCTATAATATATTCCCTATGTATTTTATTGCATTATATTTGTTTATGTTCTGTGTAAAACAATACCCATTGATGATTGGCTGTTGTTCGTCAGCATTCCGTATTCTGATTGGTCCCCATGGCTGCCGTCAGAAGCACGTGGGTGCGCGGTGTCGGATATGTAACAGATCATGAAGCTTATACGAAGACATGAGACTGAAGTAAGTGCTGTTGTTGATGCTTATGTCCCTTTTAGTCTGTTTAGTCATCTCTGATCCCGCAGTGGGGTCCGCAGAAACCCCGCACGGCTGATGCTGACGCTGAAGACGCGGTGTCATGGACCTCCCAATGAGGGACTGATCTTGAATGTATTATATAGTGACATTACTTAGCGTTTCGTGTTTATTAACTGCATTGCCAAAACTAAATGCGCCCAAGATAACCTCAAACTACACTAATATGTTACTTTGACGCTGTAGTACATACATTGTAAACCGGTAATGCATAAACTAACATGTTAACATTCATTTCTCCCATAGACTGCATATATTTGCCTGTCCTAACATACGATCTATGGTTTCTCCTAGGGCACATGCTGAGATGACGCTTACCATGACGCCAATGTGTATTTGGACATAACACATGTGATCTTGATGTTAATGTAAGATACTAAACCCTTCTGAAGTACTGCCATGCAACACAATAATGCAAATGGTACACAAACACGGTGGTGTAATCTTCCTCAAAATGACTCTTATGGTCCATTTCAACATCAATTCCATTAAGCCACCACTGTGTGTTGAGGGAAGGGGAAATGCATCTAGATTGTAAAGCGCTTTGGTTAACCCCGGTCTGTGATAGACACTCAAGACTATTCAGTTTCTGTGAACATAAGCCCCAAATCGCCAAAATCTTTAGCTAGTGAAGAACATATTGTGCATTTTTAGTATATTGTGCCTTTCATGACACTAGAGCCTCATCTGCCCAGGGGTAAACAGACTGAAGCGGACAAGCAGTAAACAACCAATCACTCGCGCCCACACTGCTTTATGAGATCTGATAATGTCAAACTTTGACATTATACAATCACAGAACATGTTCCAGTACTTATGAAGAGTCTTCATCTACAAAAACCCCGCCCAGCTAATTTACACCATTCGTCTATAATATTGACAGTAAACATGAATCAAACATTGCATAACCAAGGCTCTCCGGTTTGTAGTTTTCACCAGTTTAGTCGAGCTGTGGTGCGTGTGAGGAGAGTGGCAGCTCATCTCTGCAGAGCGACCATGGCAACAACAACAAATGACAGCTCTTCATCTCCAGTCGCCAACGGAGACACACCCACTGCAGCTATCGTCATCATTGGTGACGAAATCCTCAAAGTAAGGCGAACTTTTGTTCATATAAAAACCCTTTCTTTAAATTCACATCAGAGAATCCTTGAAAGTTTGGGGCAATTTCAGTGTTCTGTTTCTCATCTACATGTCATGTTGTCTTGGAGCAGCCTTGCCATTTTTGATGTGGCAGCGCATCCTTGGACTTGAAAATAGTATTATCTGGACCAGCGAAGGGATTTACATATCATCCTCTTTGTTCTGTCAAACTGAGACAACACTGTATCTGTATATCAAGGATCTGATCTTTAAATCATTAATAACTTTAAACTTTTATCCTGAGAGACTTGGGATGGACTTAGTACAACCAATTTGTCATTGTCTATACCAGCAGTCCAATGGTAAGTAATGGGTGCATTTACACATGGTCCAATCTAATTGGACTTTCACTGTGATGATGTGAATACATCAACTACTGTAAATGGAGCCTGGTTCACTTTAAATCAGTGCATTTTGTTTCAACCCTAAAGCAGGGAGCATTGTGGGGTAGACTTAAGAGTACAAATGCACTTGTTTAACACAGCACTCTTTTGAGCAATCAAAGATGCTTCAAATTACGCTATTCTTCATTCACTCCGTTCACAGTGTTGGTAAATGTTCTGTAGCCACGGCTGCCTGGAGCAGGTTTACTGCAACGAGGTGGATAATCTCATACGCCAAATTCATACTGGGCCATGTTGGTGATATGTCTTTCATAAGGTTTAGCATTTCAGAACTTCAGCGGTGCCACTGCGGTACTTTATTTTCAGTGGAAACCCATCACAGTACGAACCGGCTTTGATCTGCTTAGCTTAGAAGATCAAAGGTGTAAGATGTGAAATAGGCTAACCATTGAAAAAATGGCTTCAAATAAATAAGTGTAATAAACACATAACTGAGCCACACACCTGCTTGTTCCAACAGATGGTGTCTTTCTTTGTGTTTTTCCAAGTAGCTGCTTCATTAAATCACCTGTAAAGATGATCTTTCCAACATTACTCCCCATTCCCCTCTGCTGGTGAAGGCAGACACTGCACCCTCAGTGAATTAAACCAGTTCCCTGTTTATTTGCTTCTCAAGTGAACTGAGTCTATTTAACCAACAAATGTGAACATGCCCGAGGTCTCTAATTGAATGGTCAGTCATTTGTACTCTGCCTGTTGCTTTGTAACAACCAAAACGGGGAGAGTTTGGTTGAAAGGGTGCATTTTTGTGTTTATTAAAAACATATATATATATAAATGACCAGTACCGGTATTTAACCCTTGTGCTACCCTTTTGACCCAGACTTTTTAGACTCTAGGATCTACTTTTTATGAATGGTCAAGTTAGGGAAAATCATAAAAATTCAGCTTGAAAAAAAAAATGTGGGGTATTTTTTTTATCACTGTGGTGGGTCAAATCGACCCAAGGATTAACTCGCACCATGTCCAAACACACATTTTTTGATTCACAAAGACAGATATCTGTCAATCTCCACTAACAATAGAGAACCTTGAAAATACATACAAAAATTACAATTGTTCTTCATTCCATATTTACGTCCTTTTAAAGTTTAGGAAAGGTAGATCCAGAACATCAAGTTCAACAGTTTTTAAGAGTTTGTTTTGTCATGGTGAAGAGAAGGTCTTTCGATGCTGCTCACTTGTCAAATACATGTTTGTTGTTGATTTTGATTTTCCTAGGGCCACACAGTGGACACCAACAGTGCCTTTCTCACCCGGAGGCTGCGTAAACTGGGCGTGTCTGTTCAGCGCATATCGGTCATACCGGACATCCAGGAGGTGATCTCCAGTGAAGTGGCCCTGCTCTCGCCCCAGTTCACCCACGTCATCACTTCAGGGGGGATCGGGCCCACGCACGATGACGTCACCTTCGAAAGTATCGCCAAAGCCTTCCAGGAGGAGCTGCACCAACACCCCGAGCTCAGCAAACTGGTCAAGGAGTTCTTTGGGACCACGGACAAAGGAAGTGCTGCTATGAAGCTGGCTATGGTGCCTCGCTCGGCTAAACTCAACTATGGGACTGACCCTCAAACTGGGAAACTTCTCCGTTATCCACTGGTAAGTATGTTCCATATGACAGCACATCGGAGAATTGGCATTGTGTTATGATAAAGTGGTGTTTGAAAATTACTTTAATCATGTGCATTCATTCCACATTAGAGCCATAACAGCTGCATTGTATTAGCAAAAAACGTATCAAACCTGATAATATCACACTCATTGTTTTCTCAATTTAGAAGCCTTTTAACATATATTTGACACAATAAAAGATAGATAAACATTCACAATATTAAGATTAAGAGATCCTTTATTCGTCCCACAGTGGGGGTGAGGTCAGGTTGGCAGTGTTTTTTACTCATGCAATTGCTTGACTACTTACTGACTAGTAGACTACTAAAAAAATGTGTGAATAAATAATATCACGCAGAAGTACACTGTGTATACTAAGTTCTAAATATTACTCCAATGAAGTCCATATACATACTCAACATTTGCTCCTTATCTTCTTTCAGAGTAAAAACATGCATGCTTTCCTTTTAGGTCAGTGTGCATAACGTGTTCGTTTTCCCTGGGATCCCGTCTCTGCTGGAGAGGGCTTTTAATGGACTGGAGCACATTTTTGCAAGTTCTGGGACAACGTTTCACACTCGAGAGGTAAGACAGCCATACAATAATTAAAGTAATTTGTCTTTGGTTGTTTAGTAGATTTGATGGCACCCCAGTGGGCCAAAGTATGTATTAGTATATGTATTAGGAATTGAATGTACACAGAAAATTATCTGTGTATTTTAAGGGTAATCCACCTTTTTATTATAGCATTTGTTCTAGATTTCAGTGGATCGACCAGGTTTGACTCCAGCGCAGCCCTGATAATAATGTTAGGTTTAAGAGGTTCATATTTGGCAACTATATTGAAGTTTATAATGTCACTGTTTGGAAACGGGCTACAGATAGGTACCGTAGCAACCACAAAGTAAACAAAGATCATCCAATAGAGAAGATAGTTAAAGATTAACAAGTGGAAATACTTACCACTCATGTTATTATGTCTTCTATCAAACTTGAGATTTTATTCTATCATAAGAATGTGTGTCTAATGCTGGCACTATTATTTTATATAATAATTTAACTTATTGTCTTTACTTACCGTACTCATTTGTTATTCTCACAATGAATGTAAACGTTTTTACTATGGATACTCTACCACCAAAGTCAACTTTTGGAAAGAAACACATACACTTCATTGCTTTCTGGATTGATCGATACCAGAGTATTATCCCACAAGGGAAAAGTCAGGTGAAATGTATTAGCTTATAGACAGGGCTGCACATATCTTTTTCAGTGAGGTAAAGATGAGTTCCTGGAAATGGTGTTTGGTACTCACCCCATTTGTCGCGTGGTTCTTAATCAAGCTTTTATACTGTCTTCTTATGCAAAATCAGCTCAGATAACTCAGTCTGAGCCCAAAAAGCCAAAAAATCAAAACAAGAGAACCTGTTTTGGGTTGTTTTGTTTGATTTGTAAACAACATTTTACTTTTGAGTACAACCAACATGCATTGTTAATTCAAGGGAAAATGTAGGTACCCCAGCTTTAATTTGACAAGTTCTGGGAGGAGACACGGGGGAGACATGAACACTTCCTGGGGCTCCATAGCACAGGTTACGCAAAAACACGCACACAACAACACAACAGGCAAAGAATGGTCCTGTGCGTGTGTATGTTCGGCGCTGGGCACATTATGGCTACGTTAAGGCTATGTGCTCGCCGCGTTGTTGTCAAAGCTGCTCACAGGCCGCTGGAGGCAGGAACCGCAGTCATTACAAAGCCGCTGCAGTTGCTCCGGGGTCAGAACGCTGCAGGAGGATGCGGAATCCCGGTTTAGTACATAGAGCAAACACCAGCAACAAGGACTCGACTGTATGGTACACAAAAGCGCTTATTAACTCAAGTGATAGTCCGCATTTCTGATTTTTGTCACGCACGCGAACCTCCGTACCAGTTATGTGCACCCCTGCTTATAGATGATAGAGATTTCAATACAATGATAAATGGTCAAATCTAATCTAAGTATGTGTTAGTAAGTGTTTTATTTGTGAAGGTATTTGTAGATGCAGATGAAGCAGAGATCGCGCCAATCCTGACCAAATTTCAGGCTGACTGGGGACGAAGGGTGTCTCTGGGCTCGTACCCGGACTGGCTGAGTAACTACCACAGAGTCCGGCTGGTCCTGGACTCCAACAGTGCGGCGGAGGTGGAGAAGGCCCGGGAGCAGCTGCTGGACGCTCTGCCCGATGGGAGTGTGGTGCCCCTGATTACTGACCCCGTATCTCTGGCCACAGCTGAGGTCTACACCCTGGCGAACAGCGGTGAGGACACACACACACTGCTGCAGTCCAGTGACTCTCAAAGTTTTCAAACAAAGTACCACCAAGGGAAAAAAATGCCCTCCCTCAATAGTGCGCTTGACCAGGTATTCAACTTCATTTTCAGAAATGGTTCTGGTCCAGATAAATCACAACGTGTTTCTTACACAATAACATTTGATCTGTTTTATAAGCGCATCAAACGGATCATACGGATCTTATCACTATTACATGTCCCCAGGTTCAGCGCTGGGCGACAAAGTGAAGTCCGCCTTGAGAACCATCGAGGCGACGTTGGATCAGTACCCGACAGACGAGCTCTGCGTGGGCTTCAACGGCGGAAAAGACTGCACCGCGCTGCTGCACCTGTACTACGCCGCACTCAAACGGTAACCGCACACGAGCACAACACTGACCTAACCCCCTCTAACCCATGAGCGTTAACGCAGGTGTGATGGTGTGCTAGCCATTTGCCTTTCATATGTAGCAGGCGCTCTCCAGACGCCAAGGACAAAGTGAAGGCTCTGTACATCCGCATCGTTTCCCCCTTCCCAGAAATGGAGAGGTTCCTCCAGGACACTATAGCACGGTAAGGTTTTGTTTGGCCTGCCAAGGTGGTATATTTACTGAAGTACTACTGCAGGGTTTTTTCCTCTTTGTATCAAATAATTGGATGACTTAATGGTTAGTTACTTTAAAAATCCATAAAGGTCAATGAATACACGTTTGAAGTGGTTAGCCATCCTGATCCGTCTAAGTTCAATGACAATAAATACAAAAATAAAAAAGTAAATAAAAACGTTTTTCAATTATTGTCTATTTTTCAGCAAAAATGTATCTTAATTTTTACAGATTAGTACATGCTCTTTCTTTCATCGTTTAATCAGTTGAGAGAATTACTTCTAGACTTTATTACTTTTCCCTAAAGCATCCTTCTATTATGTAGGTCATTGAATAAGACATCATTTAATGTATCTATTGTATTTAATTATGATAAAATCTGGGGAAAAGTATCATTGATTGTTTGTTGTTTTATTATAGTAGAGTGCAATTATCAGCAAATTTCTATAGTTTTATCACTGACCCTTTTATTTATTAATATTAAGTAAATTTCAGTCAAATAGATGGAGAAGCTCAAAAGCCTGGGAGAGCCTGATTGTCTGTTTTGTTCGGCTGCTTGACATAACATCTAAATCTTGTCTGCTTGTGTGATGGTTTTAGAGCTAACCTGAATACTGGTCAGCTTCCTCAGCAGGAGCAGTTGTTCAGTGCCTTCTTGTAGACGCCTCTGTTTGTTTGAAGGTTGCAAGACGCCCAAATACTTAAAGGCTTCCAGCTGCTGTAAGATCGTTTAAGTTCAGGGCTCAAACGGGGGCCGTGGGGACGTGTGAGCTGTCTGCTCAAGGCTTCTGCTTTCACTCACACACTATATTTCTGTGCTGGTGCAGATATGAGCTGGAGCTGATCTCAGTGGAGGGTAGTATCCGCCAGGCTCTCGCTGATGTGCAGGAGAGGAGGCCGGAGCTCAGGGCAGTTCTGATGGGCACCAGGAGGACTGACCCATACTCCCTCACACTCACGGCCATGTGTCCCACAGACCCGGGCTGGCCCACTTACATGAGGGTCAACCCATTACTGGTACGGCTTTTACACTTTTATTAACTTGTAACCATCGGAAGTGGTTTATACGGGCTGCCATGGCTTGTTATACATCATTTGAAAGCCAGATCTCTCAAGAAATGTATTAATTAAGGAATTGCTCAAAATATTGTTCGTTTATTATTTTTGAGCAGTTCACACATTAGCAACGCATTCACAAAATTCTATAGCAGGAGCTCAAAAAACCAAAGCGGTGTAATCTGAAGCCAGAAGCTTATATATGCCCCCTACCCCATAATCAATATGATAAACATTTACATTTCCTGGTGTTACTGCACAATCCATCTTCATCCAAAATACTAATACAAAAAAAATTGTATTGAGTAAATAAAAAAAATATTTTACTCAAGTACATGAACTTGAGTAACTTTCTAGAAGTCATTGTACTACTTAGAGTATTCTATCAGTCTGTAATTACAAGCCTTCCTTACTTGTTTCCAGTTTTGGCTGAGAGTACAAAAATCCTAAAATCAAATGAAAGAAATTGAGAAAAAGCATTCATTTGGTCAAGATAATGAATAACATAATAATATAACTAATCTATAAAGAGAATTATGGACACCTTGACATAACGGTAAAGCCTACAGCCTCGACCAACACCTCTAGGGCAGGGGTTCCCAAAGTTTTTAGCCCGCGACCCCCATCATAAATGCGCTGCTCCCCCGCGACCCCCCACCTCAACAGTCCTTCCCGTCAATGAGCATGTATTTCCTTGATACGGACTCGCGCCACTACCGAGCTGCACTGTCCAGCCCAAAAAAGGAGGCTTGCATATTTTTACTCACGTAGTGACACAGTGATGGGCTTGGTGGGCTCCCTTCTTAGCAGAAGTGGAGCGCATTTCTTGCGGCTCGCCCTCTCTGTTCTCATACCGCGGTAAAGTGGCCCGGCTTTTCGGAGTCAGCGGTAAAGAGGTCCGCACATAAAAAGCGGGCGGCCGCTTTCTGCTGTTGCTTTCTGCTGTTACTTTATGCGCTTCATCCCCGCGGCTTCTTTTTCCAAAGTTACTGTAAGTAACGGCATAAAGCAGCCACCTGCTTTTAATGTGCGGACCTCTTTACCACTGACTCCGAAAAGCCGGGCCTCTTTACCACCCTCTTCTACCGCTGCCTTCTCTCCCTCCGCTGCCTTCTCTCCCTCCGCTGCCCTCTCTCCCTCTCTTCGCACCATCAGCCTGACCTCACATGTGACTTTTCTCCCCCTCCGGGTTTTTCTGTTGTGGATATTAACCACGTTTCATTTTAAAGCAGGTATTATTTGTTTGAAGCCTCCAAACACCTTTAGTTTTAGCAAACAACAGCTGGACACGCTTTGTCGCTGCGTGACGTAAGCTGCGTAACTTGATTTTGATTGACGCTGTCAATGACTGGACAAAATTACAAACGTAATTTAAATATTTTATATTCTCCTAACACAATTTAACAAGTAGTCCTTTTGAATCAAATCAAATGCTAAATCAATATTTAAGGGCTATTAATTAGCAAAATGTTTTTTTTTTTTTTTTTTTTTTTTTTGGAAATCATCTTGCGACCCCCCCTGGGGGGTCGGGACCCCCACTTTGGGAACCACTGCTCTAGGGTACGTGAACAACTTTTCCTCCTTTAATAAAACTCAGGGGGTACATCTTGTCTATGCTGGCAAGGGTGTACGCAGGACAAAACAAGTTGGGAACTACACCAGTCAACCATTATATATGTAAAAACGTCAATATTGATCTAAAGCAATATCATGTAAGAAAAGTCTATCATTTTGGATAATCTGTTGCACAATTAAACTAGGGCTGTTCCTGTTATACAATGGTGTCAATATTTATTCCCATACTTGCATTTTTCTGGTCTCTTTAGCTTGTTAGCCTACTGAATCTGCAGACTCTTTTCAGCCTGAAGATAATACTAAAGTTGTAAAGTAATAAGTAAACACATTTAAGATCATGTCAAAAATAACGTTGATCTGCCGTGGGTTTGAAATCTGATTTCCTTCCAGGACTGGACGTACCACGACATCTGGGCTTTTCTGCGGACTTTGTATGTGCCGTACTGTATCCTCTATGACAAAGGGTAAGTTGGGATATTAGTCGTGGATAGTGGATAGATGCAAACATATTTTGGATGTATAGTATATGACACATGGACACTTCTCATCTATGTTCTTCTATTGTGTCCTTGGGCAAGACACTTAACCCCCTATGCCTATAAGGAGTGCGGAAGTAATGTTCGCTGCTTGCCTTGATGTGTATGTGTCTATGTGAATGCATCAAACTGAAATTTCCCCATTGTGGGACGAATAAAGGACCTTCTTCTTCTATTCACAAGAAAAATGGCTAATTTGGCATCTACTTGTTTCATTATTTGGAAAATGTATATAGAATTAATTTATCAAACTCAATGGACATAAGTGTCTATTAAATAATTATTATGAGCAATAATAGTTTATTTTTTTGCTTAAAGTTTCAAGAAGAAAAAAATGTCAATGGGGATTTTTTACACATCTCAAAAATGTGTAAAAAAGTTGACTGGATGCACGAGAGATGATTTCTTATGTTGTTAAATTGTAATATTCAAAGTTGTGTTATGTCTATCGTCAGACCAATACTGTTGAGAGCATCTATCCATGGTCTCTTCACATAATCAGTGTTATTTAGAGGCCCCAGGAACATACCAGAACCTTCTTTGTGATGGCAGGTACACGTCACTGGGCAGCATGGACAACACTCACCGGAACCAGGCCCTTCAGACGGTCGACAGTCGAGGTGTGAGCCGCTACAAACCGGCATACCTCCTGGAGAACGAGGACGAGGAGAGAAACGCACGGGCCTGATGATTCTGATGATTCTGATGATTCTGATGATTCTGATGTTTCTGATGTTTCTGATGTTTCTGATGTTTCTGATGTTTCTGAGCACTGCGGCCGTTTCAATTAACTGTCACATCATAAGGTTTTCTTTATGTGCACTCTGTATTTGTAAGTTAATTAAAAATCTGTAATTATTATACATTTGGAATTGGGTTTTTTATTAAGCCAAGAAAATGCGCTGTTCTTTCAGAGTACGGTTTGAAACTTGTTTTTTTGGGGGGTTTTTAACATAAATTTTTAAGGCTTTTTCTGACAGAAAAAGAAAATAGGTGCTAATCCCTCCAGCTCGATCAATCTACTTAAAGTGTCGTATACTGACCCGTTATTATAATAGACCAAAATACTGACTCATGTGGCTCTTTCTTTTTGTTTATAGTATTTAAAATGTTCTAAATTTAGCAGAACTTTGTACCAAAAGATGCCACTATTGAAATACACATTTTTTTCAGTGGGGAAACACTAAATGTACCACCTGAAATTAAAATGTTAGCTTTCCCATCATCACATATTTCATTGTCGCAAAAAAAAAGTTACTTTTTGTCCTTCATCGCAAACAAATCACGCACTTGAATGCATTTTCTAAGCCTGATAGACCCTGTAGTTTAAAAACAATGAGAAATCTAATCTTTGCAGTTGTGATGTAATTCTCTTTGTGGACCTCACGGGCGCGTTGTCCTCACGGTTTCCATTTAGCGCCGGTGATTACAATAAATTACCTTCTGTGATTCCAGACATGATTGAGTCCCGGCCCATCGACTGCCTCTGTCCCGTGGGGATCGATGCGGCCGATCTAATAAAGCGGGTCACTTACGAGGCCACCGCGGGCAGAGCGCACTGAGACGGCAGCCCAGTGTCCAGGCTGATTTATTTATAATAACAGTAATAAAGGAGGCAGTAACACACCACTCTTAATCACAGCCACATTTCATGAGTCCTCCAGAGCCTGACACATGAGCTGTTTGATCACGCCTTTACTCATCAGTGCAGTTAAAGACCTGCTGAGCTTTTCCTCTGTATAAAGTTCTCCTACACTGCAAAAAGAATGGAAAAAATCTTTGAAATCTGGAAAAATTTATTTTTTTCATCATGCTAAAGTTGGAGATTTTAGACTTCTTTCCTTATTATGCTAAAGATAAACATTTTATACGGCTTTGATTTTTTATTGTATTTTTTTATTATTAATTTATTTATGTGTGCTCCTCATTACCACTGTCTGTAACTTATGATGCAACACTGACATTTCCACACTGGAACAAATAAAGGATCTCTTAATCTTAACTTGAGAACATTTAGACGGCCTTAAAACTAAATTTGCCAATGGGACAAGCAAAAATGTCTTGTTTTAAATAGATACAAGAAATGTCTCCCTTGGAATGAGAAAATAAAGCAACAGTTCCTGAATTAGGACTAAATGGCTTTGTCCCACTGGCAAATCTTGTTTTAAGATCAGGCTGTACTGTGAGTAAGATGAAAACCATTTGATTTAAGCAATTATTTTGTCATATTTGAAGGTGGAATAGCTAGTTTCTTGCTTGATACATTGTGCTAACCAAATTCTAGAAGTATGTATGAACAAATCAAACAAGACATGCTTTCTGTCTTATAGTAAACATTTTATACAGGATAATCCCTGTGAGTCACTATTTGTCGCTTTGGGCTTATTGGCTGAACAGGAGTGGTCGTCCCTTTGACTTTTCGGTCTGAAAAAGCTGATTTATTGGTATTGTACATTAATCCCTCAGAGTCTGTTAAAGATGCCTACATCATGAGGCCTTCTGTTCTTGTCCGTTGCTAAAAGAGGAGAGATGTGTGTAATGCCACAGACCACAGCTCAGAAACACAAACACAGCATCAGGAGGTGAAGCTCTGTGACACGTGTAGGTGCGACTGAGCCCAGTGTTTGGTGTTCACATGAAGCGCCTGATAATCCTGAGGCCGTCACAGCAGAGCAGCCTCCTGCCTGGACGCTCTCTCACCTTCACAGCAGCACCATGTGGAGCAGCAGGTGCACAGAGGAGAGGACGACTGCGACTACATTTCATATTCTGGAAATAGGGGTCAGATTTCATCCTTAATGTGGATACGACAGGTTGGACTGTAAACATGTTTAAACTTTTATGCTTCTTTATCATTAACATGTTCAAGGTAGAGATTATATACTTGTTTTTTGATGCTAGAGTTAGAGATTTTGTTCTATTTTCATTAGTATAGCTAATTAAAACAGTGCGACAGTAGCTCAGTTGGTAGAGCATTGGCCTTTGGGCCTGGAGTTCATGGGTTCAAGCCCACCATAAGACCTACTTCACAACTCCCACTGATAACTGCTGTCTTTGTCCTTAGGCAAGACACTTAACCCCACTTTGCCTGAAGCCTCCACTGAAAGATCTCAGCTCCTGTGGACTCACCACCTGCAGGAGGATCAGTGAGAGGCTGGTGCTCTGTGTACTGGGTGCAGCTCTGACTGCCACCCCCCCACCCAGAAGTGGATTAAGGGGAAGAAAATGGATGAATGGATAGCTATTGTTCACTTATCTTGTGTTGTATGCTCCTCACCATAGCATAGCACTGGATAGCACTCTCGCCTCTCAGCAAGAAGGTCCTGGGTTCGAATCCCGGTCGGACCAGGGCCTTTCTGAGTGGAGTTTGCATGTTCTCCCCATGTCTGCGTAGGTTTCCTCCGGGTACTCCGGTTTCCCCTACCACTAAAAATATGTCCAATAGTTCTAGCATGCGCCTCCTGTACTGGCGACCCCGCTCCCATCTCTGTGTGGAGTGAGAGACAATTGCCCAATATTAACAATTGTAAACCGCTTTGAGACTCAGATCTGCAGTGAAAAGGCGGTATATAAATAAAGATTACTACTACTACTACTACTTACTCATTCCTACTGTTCTATAACTTGTATGCAACACTGAGATTAAGGATCTCTTAATCTTAAATTAGGTTTCAATCCACCAAAAAAACTTACATTGAAAAAGATAGATGGATAGACAGACCTTTATTCTCCCCTGAAGGACATTCATTTCCACAGACACCCTCACATACAGAAGAAAGTTACAATACACACAAGATACACAAAATACACAGAAAAAAACACATGCAGTATAGGAACATGGACAACATTACAGTTTGTTTAGAGCCGCTATGGCTGAAGTTACAAAACTTGTGTTGAATCTCAATTTTGAAACTAAAATGACTTTGTGGTGATGTAAATGGGAGTTTTAAACATCTCCCCTTTGGATGCCCACGGCCCGTAGTTTTAAACAGTCTTCTGACTCAAATGGAAAATTGACCAAACCATAAGTCACTCTGTGCGTTCCATATTTCATCACATAAAGTGCATTATTTATAGTTTTATAGTCACTTTTGCTGGAGTTTTTGCGCTGCAGTGAAGTGTGGCACTGTATTGATCTGCTCAGCTGTGAAGGCCACTGGAAATCTTCGTGGAGGAGATCAGTCAAGTATATTCCCTGTATAAATAAGAACGCAGCGCAGCCGAGATCTGAGAAGTTTAAGTGGAGGAATCCTTTGGTATGAAGCCGATTGAGCCTCTTAAGTCAGTCCTGATCTCCGGCGCATGAAGGGTCAAATATTAATCTCAGAGAATATAGTTTCTGGTCATACAATGTTAAATCAGCAAACGCAACAGAAGACAAGTGTTTCACTTTGTCTCCTAAAAGGACTGGTGTCTCTGACGGAGAGTGGTCTAACACACATTCATACAAAAGAGATTATTTGAGGTTTTAAATTGTAATTCCCCATACTTTTATTTTAGAGTGAAAGTATTGGTTGCTTTCCCCACGTTTGTACATAATTTTTTGTTTCAGAAATTCATTTACTTCAGAAATAGCTTCTTTCCCATTTAATTGTTTTTGCTCCATGTCCTCAAACAGAAACAGAATTGAGGATAAATGTGAAAGGCGTACAACTTTCCCTTTACCAAATCATTTTTGATAATCCATTCCATTCCATCTTCTTCCGCTTCATCCGTTGCCGGGTAGCGGGAGCAGCAGTCTAAGCAGAGACGCCCAGATTTCCCTATCCACACACACTTCCTCCATCTCTCTTTTTTGTTGATAATCCAGATATATTCAATTCAATACAATTAAAGTTTCACCCCCTCTTGATCAAATACTATATATGTCCGCAATTTGACTCTAGCTGTAATCTGTTCACTGTGCTGCTCACCCTTCCTGCCATTGTCCGTTCAATGGTGTAAAGATGGGACCCCTGAATCCAGCCTCTTCAGCCTGTATCTGTGGGACTGTCTCCTCCGGCCTGGACTCCATGCGCTGTACCCCCCTCACGGCCACATCACAGCCTCAGTCCTCGTTGTACAGCCTGAGTCCTGGATCTAGCCTGTCTCTCCATAGAAGCTAATCCCTTTCCCCAAGGTTTTATCTAATTTCTTTTCCCACTGTATTTTTTTTTTAGCTGTTCCCTGCAGGAGGGTCTAAATGATGATTGAGACATTTTGGAAAATTCATGAACAATTATCAACATTTATGGAGCTTGGTTATCCAATATGTTTGTTATTGTGTTCGAACTCTTTTATTTGTTTATTGATTTGAATTTACAGTACATATTATAGTCAATGTCTGCAAACATCGTCAACATAAATACGCTGGAATTAGCACAATAGCTTAATGGCATCCATTCTCCTAAGGCAGGTAAGAAACACAAAAACACACAATTAGATAGAAGTACAAACAATAAGTTGACAAGCACAACATAAAGAATTTAGAAGAGTTTCAGGACTCCTTTAATTGTTAGGTAGGTCTCACAGTTTTGCATGTGTGCATGTGTGGGCGGCACGGTGGCTGAGTGGATAGCACTCTCGCCTCTCAGCAAGAAGGTCCTGGGTTCGAATCCCGGTCGGACCAGGGCCTTTCTGAGTGGAGTTTGCATGTTCTCCCCGTGTCTGCGTAGGTTTCCTCCGGGTACTCCGGTTTCCCCTACCACT